TCGTGATCGCCTCAGTCCCCTTTAAATTTCATATGAAAATGGTGGCAGACTTCGATTGGCTCCTCCCCGTTTCAGCGCGTTCTTTTTCAATCCGCAGACCGCAGCGGCGCAGAGCGAGAAACAGAGGACAAAGTGTGTGTTTATCGATAGATTGTTATAATATCTGCATCTGTGCAGTTCTTTGTCATAAATACAGTTTACTAGTGATGGGAAACCGAGGCTTTCTTAAACGTTTGAGGCTTTCATGAAATTGTGCCGAAAAACGGTTCATTACTCAAAGCTTTTAACACAGTGTGCATTAGCGACATCTAGTGGTCAGACTTGGTTTCTCCACCAAATCTAACAAAACATTGCGGAGCAGAGGATGGTTTGAAAAAGTTTTTAATCTGTGCCAACTCGTGTCATGCGTAGTCCGGTCAATGGATTCACATATTGATCAATAATATAAAATATACAAGTGTGTGATTATAATTAATAGTAGTAGCTAACATATTTTGGGTGAGATATATATAATATAATATAATAAAATGTATAACATAAAATATATATCATCAAACTAGAAGCACCTGTTCCAGAATGACCCTCAAAAACCCGATGTCCTAATCAAGCACAAAAACAAACAAAAAGAGGCTTTATTTTGAGAGGGAAATAACTATCTGCTTTCAAGATTTATGAATACATAAAAGAGCCTGACAGTCAAGAGTTCTGTGTGTGTTTGAGGAAGAGGAGAGAGATGTTAGGTCTAAATGAGATCCCTCCTATGTCATCTATCTATATTTGTGAGTGAAGGTGATAGAGTTGATTTATGCTGAAATGTCTTCTCAGTGTGATTCAGGCTCATGTACGACAAACAACATCACGAGCCCACCTCAACCAACAGTACAATACACACACGCATGCACGCACGCACACACACACACACACAACCAAGTCAATGTAAAGTCAAACAAGAGTCATGCGAAGCGCAGATTTTTTCAAACCAGCTGTCCCGACCTTCCGATACTGCATGCCGTTCGAAGCTTCAAACGTCATCAATCACGTGGTATTGTCATTTCGATACAAGCATCGGAGAGAGATGTTAGGCCTAAATGAGATCCCTCCTATGTCATCTATCTATATTTGTGAGTGAAGGTGATAGAGTTGATTTATGCTGAAATGTCTTCTCAGTGTGATTCAGGCTCATGTACGACAAACAACATCACGAGCCCACCTCAACCAACAGTACAATGCATCAGGACTCACCTGGCTCAGAAACAGGGAAATCAAATACCTCTGGGACTCAAATATCTATGCGATTGTGTAATTTAATAACAGATTTTGGATGTATCATATACAAGGCAGCGTTTCCTTATCCAGTGTGGTATGAATACAATGAATATGATGATGTGATTTTTCCTTTCAGCTCTCAGAACTGGTTCTCAGTGCTCTGAATCAGAATCTGGTTCAGTTCACACTCAGACCAGGAGTCCAGATCACAGTATACGCTGCCCATTTATCAGCAGGTAATGAACTAGAATCAAAGAATGTTGTTCTAGTTATGAACGAGAGAAGAATTGCAATCGTTTACAACAGATCATTGATAATGACAGATTTTAGATGAACAGTTCCTATGTGACATTAGTTGTATAATGAACTCTTTTCTATAAAGATTGAGGGATTCTCATTTTTAATGATATATATATATATTTTTTTTTTTTTTTTTACTGTATATTAAAAGAAGGGTTGGAGGGTTGCACTGACAACAGTTGTCTGTCTTAATTTCCCCTGTGTCTAGCGCCTCTAGTGGACACAAGTGAGAATCACAGTGGCTCAGCTATGCTCATGCTCCTGTCTGTGGTGGTGGCGGGTTTAGCGGTGTTCCTCATCTATAAATTCAAAAGGTATTGTTATCCATTTTTAAAACTTCAACCTGGATCATAATGCATATATTAGCAGTTAAAAATATGGTTAGCTTTGTAAATTGGTTAAATGTCTAGAGGCAAGGGAAGCCTGGAAGATTACAAGTTATTTATAAAGTAGTCAAGACTCTGTACTGTTACTATCAAAAACCTACCTAACCACATTGAATTTATTGATTGATGATTTTTTTTTTATTAATAAGGATAAATGTATATTTTGAAAGGAATAGTTCATCCAAAAATGAAAATTCTGTCATCATTGACTCACCCTCAAGTCGTTCCAGACCTGTACGAGTTTCTTTCTTCTGTTGAACACAAAAGAAGATATTCTGAAGAATATTGAGGGTAGCCATTGACTTGCATAGTATTTTTTTTTTCATACTAAGTCAATGGCTAGCATCAATAGTTTGGTTAACAACATTCTTCAAAATATTTTCTTTTGTGTTCAAAAGAAGAAAGAAACTCATACAGGTTTAGAATAACTTGAGGGTGAGTAAATGATGACAGAATTTTCATTTTGGGATGAACTATCCCTTTAAATATTTAATTATGAGATTATTTGATTCAGATTAATCTTTTCAAACCGAACAGTATTATCAGAATTATGATAGAATTAAACGGCATTCGTTAACTGAATATAATCTGTTTAACTTTTTTGTGATTAATTTTCTAGTTAATATAATAATAAATATGATCAATTACTTTGAATATTGTGACAAAAAAGCAGAGCAGATGTCTGTGCAAGGACTCAAATGAGGCAAAATCATTCTCATTCTCTCAGATCTCTGAGTTTAGGTGTTGTGGTTCAGTTTAGCTCACAAAACAACTTTAAACAGCTTAAACCACTGAGCGGATATGTCGAGAGGTGATTCACCCTTTTGCCATTGCAGAACCTTCTTCTTTTGTGTCTAAGTGCTCATAACAAATGAGAAATGTCAGTCAATGCACAGACATGATCAATATTTAGCCCTTTGAGTTTTTCAAGTTGACCTTTATGAAATGTTAAATGATTGCACCGTTTCTGTCACTGGACCGAGAGAAAAGGGCACGAGAGGTCAATAAGACAAGATCTGGAGACAGGAGAGGGAGACAACAGAAGTGCCAAGAATTGTCTGATGCTTTAATACATAAGTCTGGGGCATTCGGTGACACTACAGCCGGCAACATTTCACTTCTTTAAAAAACATGAGGAACTTCCTGTTAAAAAAGTTAGTTTACACAAAATTAATGATGAAAAACTGTTCTTTTCAGTGAGTCAGTTCACAAAACTAGTCTGAATTTGTTCATGAATGACTGACACTGTTGTAAACTCTGAATATAAGTGAATTATGGCCTAAATAGTGTACACATGGTATGGACTACTTTTATTGTGCATTTGCATCGTTTTTGAAGCTCAAAAGCCTCATCTCCCATGAGGACTAATCACAGTCGCAGTACAGTAAGCTCTGAAGAAAAGCATCTGCCAAACGCATAGAAGTAAATGGGTTTAGAGCGACATGAGTGTGAGCAGGGCCGTTTCTAGCCAATTTGACTCCCTAGGCGAAATCCCTATTGCTATTAATATATATATATTATATATAATTCTTTTCAGACACCAGTTGCTTGTCACATTCAAATTGGTTGTCATAGTAACGACACTAATTTGTGGAGATTCAGTGCATTGAGTTCCACAAATCTGAATGCATTATTTGTAAATTGACTGTTAAGATAAACATTTTGCACAATTTAGTATCTGTAATATCATTGTGTTGCCACTAGATGCCTGTATAGCCCTATGTAACAATCCCTAGTGGCTAAGACATTGCACATAATTTACACATAAATCACACATAAATTAATTTTATTACATTTTGATTTCCAGTGGGGGCGGCAGTCATATTTCAGGGTGACCGTGCCACTCTTTATCACAACCCTGCTAAAAGTGCCAGTACGTGCGCTCATTGGCGCCCCTTCAGCTGGTGGCGCTCTAGGCGACCACCTAGCTCGTCTATGCCTAGAAACGGCCCTGAGTGTGAGTAAATGGTAACAGAATTAGTTTCTTTTTGTGAACCGGTCCATTAATGAGGGTATTAGATCACATCTTAATGAGCTGTCCATTTGTGTTGTGTTTTCTTCTTGCTAAATCCCTCTCCAGTTGTATTTAGCACAATCAATTTGCTTTTCAATCCTCTTAGGCAATGCCGTGTTAAAGCTCTCTTCTGGTTTTTGTGACTTTTTTCCCCTCCGTAATGATGCAGACCAAGACGGATAAAATCACCTCTCTAAAGGGAGGCCTTGATTTCACAAGTCCTAAGTGAGACTTTTCACATAGAGGTCTTTTTTTCTTATTTCCATGTCTTTTTATAACTTTTCCCCGAGGCAGATCCCAGACCTCAGCTTGTAAATGGACAGTACCGCACTTGCAAACTATAAACACATGCTTCCTGTGATAAACGACCAGAATGATGTGAACTGCAAAGCTGATAATGTCAGAGCCATCAGAACGTTCGGGAAAAAGGGCGGAAGCTCGCATTATGAACCTTATCGGCTTGGCTCATGAATATTAATTAGGTAGCGTTTGCCCAGTAGTCCTTGCTGAAAGATAAGTAGGTGACCGTTTAACACCAGTTTGTTTGTTTTAACTAGGTCAGAAAAAAAGGCCATTAAATCTAAAGTTGCCATTTTATGCTGTTGGCTACTATAATAGTTATATTTATACTTTTATATACTACTGTTCAAAAGCTTTGGCTTGGTAAGATTTTAAAAATATATATTTTTTAAATCTCTTGTGTTCACCAAGGCTGCATTTATTTGATCAAAAATACAGTAAAACAGTGACATTGTGAAATATTATTTCAATTTAAAATAACTTTTCTATTTTAATGTATTATACAATTATTTTTTATTAATTCATTTATTTTTGTGGCAGTAAAGCTGAATTTTCAGCATCATTACTCAAGTTAGTGTCACATGATCCTTCAGATATCATAATGATATTCTAATTTTGTGCTCAAGAAACATTTCTTCTTATTAAAACATTTTGAAAACAGCTGTGCTGCTAAATTTACTGTGAAAACCATGATACATTTTTTCAGGATTCTTTGATGAATAGGTTAAAATTAACAGAATTTATTTGAATTAATAAAAAACATCTCTTGTAGCATAAATGTCATTACGTTCTCTTTTGATCAATTTAACTTGATTAATTAAAAAAAAAAATCTACTGACCCCAAACTTTTGAAAGAAATTTTAAATATTTAAATTGTTAATTTAATTGAAACTCTTAACTTATAACAATTATTTCCTAAAAGTGGGCAAGTTGAAGATGGACACTTGTCCTCTAAAGTTATTATGTTTGCTTATACCACTTGATAATATTGATTTGTTTTCCCCTCCCTCTGGCTGATTCCCCCAAGCATATGTCGTAGCATCAAGCTTTGTTTGCCCATGTCTCATTGTAAATCTTTCCTCAAGGAAGATCCCAGGCCTCCACGTCTATGCAGCGATGCAGGACGAAAAAGAGCAAGAAATGATCCAGAGTCCAGTTTCTCCCACTGACAGCACACCCAGCTTCAGCTCTCAGAGAGAGCTGCTCACATCACTGGAACCTCTGGACACAGAGCCCAACACCCAGACCATCGGTGAGTACCACACAGTATCATACAGGCCCTCGGTGCCCACTTCTGATACTTCTCCATTTAACACTGAAGTACTTTCCTACTCAGCTCCCCTCTTCTACTGAACTCATAGTTTTGATACTTGGGAACAGTAGACACAATTTCCCTGTCACTCGGCTCAGTCGTGGCGTGTTAGCCAACTTCCTGTAAATGGCCTCAGCAGTTTTTGTTGGTATAGAGAGTCTTGTTGACTGCAGGGAAAAGCCCTGGTTGCTCGACTTATTGTCCCCTGATGATTCCTATAATAAATCAACAGAACAGCAAATGTCATGATGTATTTCAGCTTTCTAGGCTGCTGTGGGAATCACTGATACTCTCATATGAGTTTGTTTGACATTTGGAAAGAAGACAATATATTGATAAAGAAACAACAGTAAGAAAGTATATATATATATATATATATATATGATATGTATGTATCTTGTGTTGTTCGAAACCCGTAAAACCTTCGTTCATCTTCGGAACACAATTTAAGAGATTTTTGATTAAATATGAGGGCTCTCTGACCCGCTCGTGTCATGATATTGTCGTGAACTCGCGTCCACAAGTGACGCAGTATAGACGAAAATGTGGAATAAAGTCATTATTTTTGTTTTCTTAGCGCAAAAATTTATTCTTGTAGCTTCGTAACTTTACAGTTGAACCACTGATGTCACACGGACTACTTTGTCGATCATCTTGGTACTTTTCTGGACCTTGAACGTGGTAGTTACCTTGCGGTCTATGGGCGGGAAAGAGAGCCCTCAGATTTAATCAAAAATATCTTAAATTGTGTTCCGAAGATGAACGAAGGTCTTACGGGTTTGGAACAACATGAGGGTGAGTAATTAATGACAGAATTTTCATTTTTGGGTGAACTTACCCTTTAGTTCTGGCAGCTCACGTCAGTCAAGCACGCATTTTCTGACTCTCAGCTGATCCACGTCGACCTATAGGGATACGACTCCTATCACAGCATCCATATATAAGGTACTTCAGCATTATCAGCAGCTTTCAAGTTGGCTCAATAGCTAATGGCAAATTCGGCAGTCAAAACCACATTATCTTACTAGGAATTGTGCAATCAGGAATTTAGCGAGAGAAATAGTTCCCCTCATGGACTTCACCTCAGATTCATTCAAGTGTGTGAACTTGAACACGTGAATTCGCCGCATTGATCATAAGCTGCCTGATTTGGAAGTGACTGAGCTAGCATTGCTTCTCGCATCGCTGCGTTATTGACATGAACTCCATGAGTTATACTAATGTGACTGACTCAAGAACAAGTTCAGATGAGATATGCACTCCCCGCATGAAGAAGGATATCAAGAGATCAAGCATCCACGTCACAGCTGGCTTTGTTTCACTCTCCATTCATCTCTGAATGTCTTCACAAAACTAAGATAAGTTCCTTTTTAATGCTTTCAGGTTATTGGCAACATGCTTGTTGCTAAGGCTATCCATGTTGCTTAGGCTTATTTAGTTGTTTTCAGTAAAATGCTTGTGCTAGGCTTATGCTATCATATTAGCAATATGCGTTATTATCTGTTGTCATTGGCAACATGCTGTTTTTTAACCTATCAAGTCTGGTCACCTTTATTTATATAGCAGTAAACAGCACAAATTCAGGGAGCTTTGTGGTGATAGACAGGAAATAACCATCATGGTGCAGGTGGAATCAGAATCAGCTGTGGCGCAGCTCCAGGAAGAAAATGGTAAGCAGGCGTTGTTCGGTGAGGTTGGTTCAGCATTGATTCTGTTCGAGTATCGGAAACGATTGTTCTATCTAGTTGTATTGGAAACATACTTGTTCCAGAACTGTCTGGTTGCTTTTGGAACATGCTTGTTCTTAAGGCTATCTGGTTTATGTTGGAAACATGCTTGTTTAAAGGCTATCTGGTTGTTATTGAGAACGTGTTGTTGCTTAAGCTTTTCAGGTATTGGCAACATACTCATTAGGTCATCTGGTTAAGGGCAACATGCTTGTTGATATGGCTTATGCAGGTTTTGGCAACATACTTGTTTGGGTCATTGGGTAAGGGCAACATGCTTGTTGCTTAAGGCATTGACATTTTCACTGTCAGTTTTTGTTGGGGATATCAGCATATGGTTTCTGGGTTATCGCTGCTCTCCCTGCTCTTTTCCATGCTACACTCTAAAAAATGCTGGGTTGTTTCAACCCAACTTTGGGTCAAATATGGACTAACCCAACTTTTGGGTTAAAAATTTTATGTAAAAATTTAACCCAACGGTTGGGTTAGTCCATATTTGACCCAAAGTTGGGTTGAAACAACCCAGCATTTTTTAGAGTGTAGGCTGCATGGATGCGCAGGAAGTTATTGCCAGAACTATACCGCCAATTCAAACTGTATTCTAATTTTCAATCATCTTTCACAATAGTGGTCCTGACAGAAATCAAGCATAGCATTAGTTCTGGCAGGTCACGTCAGTCAAGCTCACATCAGCTGACTCTCAGCTGATCCACGTCTACCTATAGAGATACAACACCTATCACAACATTCCATATATAAGTTCCTTCAGTATTATCAGCAGCTTTCCTGTTGGCTCAATAGCTAATTACCCTCCTCCATCCCCAGCTCCTCCTCTCGTCCAGTCAGGATTCAGCCTTCTGATCTGAACTTAATTTATTATATAACTTACTATTTGTAATAAATTATATGATTAGTAAAATGCTAAATATAAATTGTTAAAAATACTATTAATATCATTAATATATTAGCAATATAACAAAAAAATATTAATATATTAAAAAATAATAATTATTTAGTTATGTAACACACACACACACACACACACACACACACAGTGTGTTACGGATTTGAGGATAGACAGACAGACAGACAGACAGACAAATTAATATAAAAGATGTAGAATACATAATTGCATAATTATTGGAATTGTGTATATTATATATTTATTACATATTGTGTATGTAAATAAAATACAATTCTAAAATTCTAAACAAAATTAGAATTGTATTTATTATATATTACATACGTCCATGAACATATATAAATCATTAAAATATTAATAATAATACTTATACAATAATACGATTATTTCTTTTTAAAATTTAATTTAGTTTTATTGTCATTTTTTTATTGTCAGACATTTTATTGATTTAGTTTTTATTGTCATTTTGTCTCTTTGTATTTCCCAGAATGCATCAAACCTCATCCACGTGTCAAATTCTCATCAGATCTTCCTACATACATTGACGTTTGAACTCTAGCCTCCGCCATGTCAAGGACTTTGGTCATGCGGACACAAAGGTTTCAAGCTTTATTCAGTACTTGTGCATGTTGGACATTAACTTTACTGTGCTCTGTGAATACTAGAACAAAATTTGTACAGCTTTTTTATACATCTGTGTATTCAAGAAAACATTTTTGATGCTGTTCATTTATAAAGATGCCAGTGTGTACAAAGTCTGAGAAAAAAAAAAAAGACAATTATACTTGGTTACCCGTCTGTTTATTTTTATTGTAAACAGTGCCAGTACAGTATTCATGAGCGTAAAACAGGGATATGTGACATTTTGAAAGTGTTTTAATAATAACATGTAAAATAATTAATGATTATTGTAAAATGAAACATTTCCTGGGTTTCATTTTGTAAAACTATATCTAGCACATCTGTACTTTACATGTAACACAGAAATGTAGATTTTACCACTAATTTTATGAGTTTCATGCCTTTATTCATGAAACAGGGTTAATGTTGAAGCTTGTTTATCTTGTTTTACTTCTCTGCAATATCAAAGTATTTTTTCTTAGTAAAATAAAATCTTTGTGTTTCTATGTAGAAATAACTGACTGTTGGTTTACAGATACATATCAGTGTCAAGATCTGCTGCGTAAACTGACTTGAGACGTTATGGCCAAGCAGAAAATGATAATCGTATACTGTGTCTAGTGTTTCATAAACAGTTTTGTATGGAATAATTTATGTGCACTCACAGAGAGTTACATGATTTATGCTTTCATTTTGCTTGTTTATTTGGTATTTTTTGTGCATTTAAATTCAGTCGTAAAGTAAAAATTAGATGGTTTCAGCTACTCAAAAATTGCCAACAATATACAGCACAAAACATATTGTTGGCACAAACCATGTTTATATGAACCTGCATTTCATGTATATATGCATTTCAACATTTTATTTTGAAATGTAATTTAATTTAGTTTACATTTTTATTTTATTATTATTATTTGTTTATTTATTTTTCATAGTTTTTGAGGATTTCACACAGCTGAATATTGTAATATGACTAATTTTCATAGCCAAATGACACTTTTAATTTACAAATGTGTGCCAAAACACCAGTTTTGCATCAACAAGACAATTAACTAATTAGACACTATTATATCTTTAGTACAATAACAATACAATAGTACAATAGGGACCATTTTTTTGCATGTCCTCCTGTTTATTATAATGGTGCTGTTACACACATGGATGAGATCATGTTCCTCGTCATCTTTATGTAACTCAATATTGATACTCTTTTTCTTAGTTATATCTATGGACTATTTGCTTCTCAATTTTGCTCTTCTTTCAATATGTTCTCATTTGAATATCAAGGTTAAATTACAGCTATTGTTAGTCTTTCCATTCTCATACACCAATGAATGTAACTGGAGGCCATTTTTATTACAGAATTGTCAGGATATTGAAAACAGCATGTCTAAAAGGGAACATTGTAATGGCTAATTTTATTTCAATCCATTACATTTTGTACACTGCGTATAAATATGTCACTGCAGTAGAGGATGTTCATACTGAGGCAATTCACTATGGACTTGACACAATCACAGTACAGATTATATTTTCATAATATCACACGCTGAGGTCTGACACTGTCTTTAGTATATGAGACGATGGAAGACAAGACACTCAAGTTTTGAGTTGAAACTGTCAATCAAATGAGTGCAGGGCATTGTGGGTAAGGGAGGAGCTATAAAAGGAACAATAGCAATATCATTTAATTGTTTCTGCTGAAAGGGTGAAAAAAAATAAAAAAATAAATCATGACAGAATCAATATCTGAACATTCAGACCTGAATTGACATTACTTCAAACCAGGTGGCTGAAGAGAAATGCATTTTAATTATTAAATTGAGTTGTACGTTTAGATTGAAGACAGAGCTTTTGTTAAACCACTGGCTACAAAACATGACACTTTATGAGCTTTGAATGGACAAACTGTGGCAGCCAGGAAATCAAAATCCAGCGCTGCCACTTCTCTTTTAAGAGTAAGGAAGATTATTTTTGTAGAAGACAAGAGTTTTATTACTGTAAAGACTTTATAAATATATAAATGCATACAAACTTTTAGGTGTGTAATGCTTTGTTTCTTTATTTTTTTATCTTTCTTTGACCTCAACTCTGTGCTTATGTGGAATTGTTTCTGTTTGGTGCAATCATATTTATTAAACGAAACCAGTCCCTGTTATTGTGTTTTGATTTTCTTACAGTATTTGTAAAAACATTATGTAATTTGCTGAAGTAACCTTTAAATTGTAGATAAAAATAAAGTATTGATCAAAATGGAGTATGGTTTTATTTCATTTATAGGCTTTTAAGAAAGCCTTTATAATGTGAAAGCAATCGTTTTTTTTATTTTTTTTTATGATTATGACACTAATATAATAGTCCACACAACTAATATAATGGTCCAAAACTCCAAAACAATCATAATATATATATATATATATATATATATATATATCATAATTATTTTCTTATTTCTTTTTTTGCATTTTGGGGTTTTAATTATTCTTGAAATAGGTATCTTATGCTCACCAAGGTGGCATTTATATAGTCAAAAATACAATAAAAACATCAATATTGTGAAATATTATTACATTTTAAAATAATTTGTTTCTATTTCAATATACTATAAAATGTAATGTATTCATGTGATGCAAAGATACAAAGCATCCATAATTTATAATTATAATTAATTATAATTTTTGAAAACAGTTGTGCTGCTTAATATTTTTGTGTAAATCTTGATACATCATGAATAGAAATTTGAGAAGAACAGCATTTATTTGAAATAGATTTTTTTTGTAACAATATAAAAGTCTGATAAGTGTATATGAAAATTGTACTGTTCTGGTGAAACAGATGCTAGTCATAAAATGACTTCTGTCCACTTCCAGAGAAAAACAAATGTTAGAAAAGAGGAGAAATGAGCAGCCATTAGCGATGAATAGTTTCGCGACAGCACAGCTAGAGAGACAGTGTGAGGGAGGTAACTGGAAGGCACATTAGACTGCAGATTAAGGAGCAATCAATGCTTCCAGGGGCCCCGGCTCTGCTGACATCTCAAGGTAACTTTCAACAGCGTCCAGGGAACTGTAAGTATGAATGTGTTTGTGTGCGCCTGTTATGCAATTGCAGTCAAGGGCACAGCTAATTCAAGCCTAATGAAACATTTTGATTTTCTCCATTAAAAAAAAATCATGCCCTCATGATAAAGTATTAGGCGACCTGTGTACCTCTTGTGTACAAATTAAAGTTCATCAGAGGCCTGTCTCTTCAAGGATAATAACCAGCTCAATCCGCTCCCTGTGGGTTTGTACTGTAGTTACTCCAAGGACATTAGACTCAATCTTCCTCTGGTGACATGTGTGCCTACGGCGAACAGTGTCCACCGCTGGCACCTCGGCTAGCAGACTCACCACATTTAATTACCTTTGGAAAGAAAGACCAGCGGGAGTGAGAGAGAGAAACACACACACACACCAAAAGTGTTCATACACAGCTTAACAAATCATAATCAAGGACTGGAACTATATAATCATTATAACAATATATAACATTATATAAAATACTAATGTTACTTTGTACATTCAGGAAATCAAGGCAAAATTAGTAACCTTTGCAATGTCCACACTATGAGTTACCATAGTTATACCATGACGTCAAAGTGTGTGTGTGTGTGTGTGTGTGTGTGTTTGTGAGAGAAAGAGAGAGAGAGCTAGATACCAAGCTTCACTGCTTATCCAGCCATTCACTTCATTAACTTCCCATCTCTCCCTGGGGACAGATTGTATTCACAGAGGTTAACACAGGCCAGCAAATAGAAAGTCACTCTCTTCTACAGACTGATTTGCATGGTCTGTTGGTAATTGGCATTCGGGAAAGCTGTATTTGATTACGAGGTTCAGAGGTGTTCTTTCACTTCTGGAGACTCACAATGTCTTTGTTCTTAACTCCACTGGAAAGATGACGGTGATAATTTGACAGTGATTTCATGAGCATATTCCCATCATCAATGATTAATCTACTTATGCAGCAGAGCAGAAGGAGAAGTATATTTTAATGAGAACGAAACAGCTGAACTACATGCAGGGGTCTTAAAGGGGTCATATGATGCTGCTAAAAAGAACATTATTTTGTGGCAGAAGGAAAACGAAAACCAGGACCAGGAACTGACCCTTGTGGGACACTCTCCCATAAAAGGGATTATTTATTTCAAATGAATGTATACTGAACCCTGTGTTTGGCCTGATTGATTACCATGCTCAGTGGAACTGCGAAATAAGCAACCTCCAAACGATGCATATGTAAACGACTGATTACTCGTTAATCTGCTTGTGCAGTTTTGAATAAAACCCAGAACTGGAGAACCAGTGGTGTAATGTAACAATACTTCAGTAATAATACTTACTTATAGTACTAATAGTACTTAAGTATTTTTGGGGAGAATCTGTACTTTACTTGAGTTTTTATATTTCTGTCAACTTTCACTTTTAAGCCACTACATTTCTTAATTAAAATTAATACTTTTAATCGGATACATTTCCCCGAAGCATTACTTACTACAAAATAAAATCGGAAGAACACAGACAGCAAGAAAGCAGGTTTGACAAATCAGTGGTCTGGTGCTTGTAAGTAAGACTCCTAAAAAACACCTTTGCTCGTTGGCAAACAAGTGCTCGCACAACCGCGGATGATTTCATTTTCCACTCAATTCGAGGCTGGGGTGTGCGACATACAGTATATCGTCTGCGATAATATAATAATTGTTTTAATGATATGCGATTTGACATTATCGAGTATATCACAAAAACACACAGAGAGTGCACGCATACACTACGTGATTTAGTCTATTAAAATTTATTTAGAATCATCAAAATTCAAGGCATTCTAAATTGTAGGTGGCAGAAATGCCTGTCTTTTATATTTATATAATTTAATATAGTTAATCTATATCACACGAAGAGTGACGTTTTCTCTCCAGATATCAGCATGATAAATGTAATATTGATTTTATACAAGCTTAATAATGTAAGCATTAAGTAACTTAAATTTTAAACACACCATTGCCTGTTTTTGCTCAATTTTGCCAACGAAAATAGTTCCAAACAAAGATCAAAGCACTGTTTTGCATCTCCGAGCAACACACAGTTGCCCTGCGTCTCAGTGTTCATACTATCCATCCTAAATAGTATGTGAGGTTAGAATACGTGTGTCCCAAAGCATAGTATGTTAAAAAGAGTATGCCAAAAGTCCCCAGATGGTCTACTATTTCAGGTCAATTTTTGAAGTGTGGATCCGTGCACACTCTAATGGCTAATATTGCCCACAATCCATTGCGCTTTGGTGAAGGATTCTGTCCAGAACTACAAACACGAATAAAACGCGTTAAAAAACTACAAACATGGCGGATGTGCGCGACCAGCGGCTAGGTAGAGAGGCTTAGAAAAAGGGGTTTGAGTTACTAATATTCAACATTTAACCTGGTAAAAAATATTTATTTAATGTTATCTGTGTTATATTTCATCTGCAACAGCAATGTAAACTTTTATAAACATCTGTTTGGTCCTTAATTTTTAAATGCATCATTATGCATAAAATATGAGCAGAGTTCTCTGCATGAAAGACCCGCGACGGGCAGATCAATGTGCTACTTCTTTTCTCTCCAATACGGTATGAAGTTAAATTAAATGCAATGTGGAGGATGTTAATTGTGACAAGATGATTGACAGTCCGTTAAAGACACAGTTGTGTGATGTGATAGTATGTCCCAAAGCTTGCATACTCTTCTACTACACACTCAAAAATTGTGTACTTTTTCTTCACCAAAACAGTACATATTTTAAGTGCGTAGTATAAGTAGGCACATT